AAAATCCTGCAGATATATAAATTTTTTTGTACACTTAACTTCATTTAAAGACAAACCACATGAAACAATAACAGAAACTAATTGAAGTCTATTATGTAAGTTTGTGCCCAGAAAGCAAAGCATTCAATATCACATGATCACATTACATGATTCTTCAATTTTTATGGATGTTAGGATCGACCCCCTGTGAAATTCTATTGCTTGCAGGAACTTGAGCCATAGAGTTTAATATAAATTCGCGTTACTTTACATTACCTCCATGTCTAACTTTTTTTCTGGCAGTATAAAGAATGGATTGAATGAAGAAAGGCTCATCATTTTGACTAGCAGCATCACAAACAATCACATGTTTCCAGCATCACAGCTTTCCTTCTAAGATTTATTACACTAAATCGAAGCCAAAAAGAAGACAACAAATTACTGAAAACCTTGGCACAATCAAGACAGAACATAGAACCACACTATAATCCTGAAGAATTACAATACTTCATCATATTTTTGATTCATTTTCCCTTAATTTCTTTGCTTTATCAGATTCCATCAAAATTGGTAATAATGAAACCTTTCTTTTCAATATTTCAGTCAAATGTCTTACTGACTAGAAAATTTGAAATAAAGGAATTAATATTTCAGCATCATTGCTAATGAAACTTTTCTTCAACATGGGATATGAATGTACCGTAATGACGTCCCTTACAAAAGTGCCCTGATAATAATTTTTAACCTGATAATAGCACAACAATTAATTAAGTGTGTTGCTGTTGATTTAATAAAGTGTTTTGAGTTTGCTTGATGTTACGTGCAGAAATAACAAATGAAACTAACAGAACATACAATTTAGGATAAAGTCAAACTGACTATGTAAATAAAAAACAAACTAAGAAGCTAGCTGAAAATATTAAACACAAAGGCAAATTCTTATCACAATTTTCTTCTACTTCCCTCATTTACAAGCACCAATATTATCCAGCAATTAAATCAAATAAAGAGAAAATACGAACAGTGCCTAAGTCAGGTACAAGGCAAAAATACACTCTCAATTGGGAATCCCCAAACAAGGTTGAATCTACTATTTCTCATAAAATGTAGGACCAATGTTACCTTGGATTACTAACACGTCGGAGATTGGACTTGTTAAAAGCAGAGATGGAACTAAGGAGAGCAGATCTTTCTGGAGCAACTACAGGTGAGGTTAGTGCTGAAGGTGGGGGTGGAGGGGGAGGGACTGAGCTTGGCGTTTGAACTGGGGAAAGTGGTGAAGACAAGGATGGAGCTAAAGGTGCAGCGAAGTTTGTAAGACTATCATTTCTCCCTGAAATTACATCACATAAATATTAGGAAATAAAAATGGTACATGCTTAATAGAGTGTGTACACAAAAAATGCACTATATTTTCATTACCGTATGGTGGTGTCACAGTTCCTGCAGAGGTGGCTGTGCTGGTACTAGCCGGGCTGTCTGAACGTTCAGGAGATTTACCATTTACCGTGTGTTGACTCTGCTTTTGCTGCTGTTGCCTCTCTTTTTCCTTCAGTTTCTGCAAATTTTAAATCTTTAAAGAATAAGAAAGAGGAAAGACTGTATTGTACTCTAAAAAATCCCAACAATATACCCATTTCTGTTTCCTTCTCTTCTTTTCCTCTTCTGAGCTTAGCATCTCCTGAACTCTAGCAAGACGACGCTGGTGATGAACCTGTGAAAGGCATACACATTTGTATTGACGACCATAATCATAACAAGTCAGACTAAATTAAATGGACTAATAGGATAGTATCGGGTATTTACAATTTTCTGGTCTTGTCTCAGCCTCTCTTCAATTTTACAAGTTATAGTCTTAAAGGCTTCTTTAGAATGGCTAGGAATTTTGAATAATTGTCGAGTTTGTATATCTTCACCCATAGCTCCATTAAAAAAGCTGTGGAGCAGTAACTGCTGTGCTGAGGGCAGAGCTTCACGAAGAGCTCGTGGAGAAAGGAGTTGGTCCAATAAATCAGCTGCAAAGAAAAGAATTGTCATAATTTAAGTCTGGGAAAGAAAGCAAACAACAGGATCAAAGTTCAAATTGTAAAAAGAACCTCACCGAATGCTGGAGGGCAGTTAGCAGGCAACGATTCCAGACTTGATGCTTGCAATGGTCGACCAAATGCCATCTCATATAGCAAATGCCCAAAGCAGTACATATCAACTGATTGCAAGTTGTCAAGTCTACGATGCTGAATGACAAAAGGCCGGTAAAAGCCTGGCAATCCCAAAAGGCCACCTTCTATATCTAGCAGTAAGGCTCTCCCATTTTCTATGCAGACATTTCCAGCATGAAGCTGACCTGATCAACATAATAAAAATGTTAAAATTACAATAAAATTGACTAAGATTTAATAGAAAATTATGTGAACTAAACCAAAAAGATGGTTTACCATACGGAACTCCTTTATGATGTAAAATGGCAAGTATTTGTAAGATCTGACAAGAATATAATGCAATCTCCCTGTCACTAAAGGGATAAATTTGTTTTGGATAAGCATACTTTCTGAGAGCAGAAATACGCAGTTTGCTACCACATATTAAATCTCGAAGGGATCCCTTCTCAATAATGCGCCTGACAACTAGGCACCCTATTTCATTGCAACGAAAAAGTTCAATGTTGATGGCGACAGGTGCCTATAAGGTGGGGAAAAAGGTACATTTTACAAATACTGGATTGAACAGGTAAACAAGTGATGCTACATTTAAAAGGCCACAAAACCTGTATGGTTGAGAGCACTGTCAATGCAGATTGTAGTTGAGTCGTTGGAATAGTCATGTCTGGACCATACTCTGTCCAACTTAGGAGAAGTTCACAGTTTTCTTGATTTGGAATGTGTCTCTTGATGGAAAAATAATGCTTCCGTATGCGCCATCCAATATCTGGAAGTGGCCGCTGTACTTCCCACACAGGCTCACCTCGAAGAGCAAGAGAAACAGAATGGAGAGCGGTTTCTAAAACAAGAAAAAATTACTAGATAGGTAATAAAAGGAGGATAAGAATATCACAAGACTTCTACAAAAAAATTAAATCATACCATGTAAGGCTGATGGGTAATGATCAGGATCAAGAAATTGTTTCACAAGAAATGAGGATGCTAAAAAAGGGTTTTCCTGAATTGTATTTAAATATTTCTGTAAGGAAAAATAGAGTAAATAGAAACATGTGTATGTAAATTCATCTTTAAGAAAAAATCTTTTAAGAAAAAAGATTATGTCACAAAATGTCTGATACATACCTGAAGCCCAGCTTGTCTCTCGGCAACAAAATGGGGATCCATATTCCCAATCAACCGCTTTGGTGGCAACAATAAATTAATACCAGCCACAGACAAGAGACTATTCAGAGCCGCAAAATCTCGATAACGTTTGTTGATGTGCCAACATTTTTCAGGATAAAATCCTCTTTGGACCTTTATATTATATTCCTGGAAAACCAAACAAGATTTTAACAATCACATCAATACTATGGTGATTTGTTGCCATATTTCAAAAAATAGGTAATTATAGTGATAATCAATAACAATCTAATCAATTTTTAGTTTCAACGACAACTGACACTTATTATTTAAAAAGTCCTCTAAACCAAAAACAAAACAATCATATGGGTTGGACATCGTAGCCATTTGACAGCGTATGAGAACAGCTTAAGAGCTTATCAGAAGTTTGCTGCAGCTTGATGTGATAAAAAATTTCATTTTCAGAAAATGTCATGAATGGGCAATGATTCCGGAGACAAAGGTAACTTACGGTGTGCCCATGGATATTTTGAGTGCTCTCCACTGTACATGTCAACACATCAGTATCATCGAGTAAGCTCCTCAGTTGAACTTTCTTCTCGAACACAGCCATAGGTATTGGGATATTGCAAAAAATGAGCGAGACATGAGGTCACTGCGTATTCAATGTCACGTGAAGTGTTATCAAGATGCCCAATATTCTGTCACAAAGATTGGCACAACATCAACACAACAGACCATCACAGCTGCCATCTTGTGATGTCTGGAACGAAAAGGACAACAAAAACAAAACAATGAAACAAAAGATAACAGCGAAGGACGTTTGCTACCAACTTAACATCTTGAAATATCATTTTGAAATGCATAATTTAGAGCTGAACAGTGAAAATTTTACACATCACTTCGGCCAGGTGTTTATTCTATACAATGTTCAACAATTAACGATTGTAACTTCACCCTGTCAACTCAAATAAATGTTTACTTCTTACTTACAATTTGAAAAAGATTTTGTGATTGTGAGTACCGTCACCGTCCCGTTCTGGCGCGTATTCCCCATTTAATGCACGACGTTCCAGTTCACAAAGTAGAAATCTTGAGGTACTTTCGAAGATTTACCGTGAATGACGGAAAATGTACAAGAACCGTTCAAGAGGTTTGAAGCGGACAGCTTCAGCCCTACCTGCTGGAGCATCTTCTGTTTCAAATTTGGGCGAAGAACGGCAAGAACCGGACCCCGAGACGACTAACCAACAACAAAGGGAACCGCTGAAGGAACGAAGTCAGAAAAATATTAGGTCTGAATCGGACGAAATCGAAAATGATAGGCCCCCTGCTAAGAAGCCCAACAACCGAAATACCGACGAAGAGAGCACTACAGCCAAGGTTGAGTCGAAGATCCCTAAATCACAACCCAAGACTCAGCCTAAACCCAAAGCAGCTCCGATTACTTCTGCCAAAGTGAAACCGGGCGGAAGTAGGCAATCTCGAGAACGGAACAAATCAAGCATTTTAAACAATCATGTTGACATTGATGTTAATACCATGTACATGTCATTTCCTAGCAAATTTGAAGAACTGGTTACTAAAAGTGGATTTAAACTACAGGATGGCGACGAACCTTTTCTGTTGAGTTAGTATTATAATTTGAAATGTATCTCAGTTATGAGATTCTTGACATATTCTCATGGTTCTTATTTTTTACAGGGAAGGATCAAGCTGTATTTGTGCGCAACCTTACCATATTATTGTCAAAGAAAGAAGATTATCCTGAGGAGTTTTTGGAAGGACTTGAAAAATATGTTCAAAACAATGACAATTTTAGAAAAATGCTTCTTGACACACAGGTTAGTATTAGTGTGTATGAGTAAAAATGTTGCCTCTCTTGTCTTTGTTTATCATCAATCTTTATTATATTTCTAGACTGACCCAGAATTTGAGGATGCCCGTAGCTCTCAGCAGGATAGTCTTGTCCGAATGCTGCTCTTTGTTGACTCCATACAACCAAAGGTCATTGTTATGCTTCTTGAAAAATTGGTGGCTCTTATTCAGAGAAGTGAAAAGTAAGTTACATTTCTACTTGTATGATGCCTACTGTCTTTTAAAATGTTAATTTCATGTTTTAAAGCATTATTTGTATTTAATTTCTAGGGAAGTAGGTGATGACAACTTTCCATGGGTTGAGATGATAGTGAAGCGATTTTGTTTTCTTGATCACATTGTTGATGGAACAGCTCTATTTAATGACTTATTCCGTCTTTTACAAATGGCACCTTTATCTGTTCAACAAGAAATAATTTATAATCTGCCATATATAATGCATGCTGACGCTCATCATGACGAAGTTGCTGAAAGACTATTGTAAGTATTAATCTTCATTCATTTAAACAATTCTTTCATTCCTATCTATTTCCCTAAGAACATCTTGTCTCTTAAACTTTCTATGTGATGAGTATAAGGCGAAGATGAGTGGTGTGCTCCTAGACTTTTAGTAGAGCTACCCTTTGAAATGTGTTTCATTCTGATTGAAAGTTAAAGTGTGCTATTCTTCTCATATCTTTACTTTGTTAGTTCTATCATTTTCTACTAATTCATATGATGAATATAAGGCGAAGATGAGTGGTGTGCTCCTGGATTGTCTAGGTTTAGACTTTGAGTAGAGCTACCCTTTGAAATATGTTTTATTCTGATTGAAAGTTGAAGTCTGCTTTTCTTCTTATATCTTTACTTTGTTAGTTCTTTCATTTTCTACTAATTCATGTGATGAGTTAAAGGCGAAGATGAGTGTTGTGCTCCTGTTAATTCCAGTTTTGGAAACTATCAGTAGAGCTACAGTTTGAGATGTATTATACTCTGATGAATGTTATTTTTTAAGTGTAGGAGCTATATTTGGGGTTGAGAAAACCAGCAAACACATGCTTTCCTCATCATAAGTGTTATTTTTTTATTTTTTTTTAAGGTTTCATTCTTGTATTAGTGTTGATACTAATGTAAAGATGAGTGTTTTGTCCTTTGAAATTTTAAATTTTGCCCTCAGTTGAGCTGCACAAAGAGATGAATTACTATCTGAGATGGTACATTCAGTAAAATGTTAAACTAATTGTTATTTTATAATTACGTATATTGTATAGGACTATCCTTTTTTATTCCCAGAAATCTTATGAATTCCAAGAAAGATCTCACGCGAGCAGTACTTCAAGCCTTAGGCAGCCTGCCTTTGTCACCCACACAAAGTGAGGAAATTAGGAATCAAATGCTGGTGTCCCTTCAGAGTGCTCCAATTGAATTTATTCCTGACATTGTGAAGTTTGTATTTGACGAGCATTCTACCGACCACGATCAGGTATGGACCTTTCTACAGTTTGTGATTATTCTTAATTACCCCTTTTTTATTTGATGTCTTTCTGCAGATAATCAATGGTCTCAGAAACAGCCTTCCATTTACTAGGCTTCGAGAAAAACTTCTTGCTCAGAAGGCTACTCAGCAAACTACATTTGCAGCTGAATTTGCTTCCACAAAATCTCTTACTTTCCGGAATTTGCGGGGAGCTTTCTTGTCTATACCTTCTCTAGCAACAGCATGGCGTAAAAATATCAAAAGCATTCAGTCACCCAATGACCATCGTCCAATAGACATTATGATGCTTGTATTGATGCACTGTAAAGCTAGCAACCGCCGACAGCCTGTTGAAATGCTTTGGCGCAACCGCATTAAAACAAAAATGTTCACTCATTCTCTACTCGAAGAAACTTTTGAGGTTCTTCTAGTTGTTTTAAAAAAATATAAGGATGATGTGCTGAATGTTGCGTCTATTTTACTAAGGTATAGTAAAAATCTATATATATCTTGTTAATTTATCTGACTCTACTTCATTGTAATTGTTGCTAGCTGGAAATCCCCGTGATTTGCTTTATATTTCTTTTTCAGAAATTCTGACTCATCCATTCGTGAATTTGGTTCTCTGATGTTCAAACTATCTTTTGTACATTTTGAGTCACATGTCCGCCGACAAGTAGTATCTGAGCTTATACAACTGGTTGGGTCTGGTGAAACATGTACCCAAGTGGCACTTGACGTCATGCTTGAGTTGGCTAAGGATCACCTTGACAAACTGAGTAGACTCACAATTCTACTTCAGGTAAGATGCGCAGTTCAAATGGTATAACATCCATTATGTTTTGAAAATTAATTTGCACTTTTCTGTATTTGTAACTAAAAATCAGTGTACACCGAAGAATGGGTTGAATGATATTTTTTATTACATTACAATTTCATTTCTAGAATCTCCTGGAGAATATTGACAGACTTAGTCTTCAAGGAGTCAGGCAAATGATGGATCTCTTGTGCAGAATAGCATACAACCCTGATGTTGAGTCTGGTGCGATGGGCACAATAGGTGATAACATCTCAATAATTGTCCACAAACAATTAGCATCATTTGAGCCACAACTCAAGAGGAAGGGTGTGGTCACAGCTGTGATGATGTTGAAATACATGGCTACGTCACTTGATGATGCATCAAATGTCAGTTTAGAGGGCAGTAGTTTAGACAGCTTACCCCCAGGAAGGACTAAAGAAGCTGGTCAACTGCTTGGTAAGTAGTTACAGTAGTTGCACAAGCTGCCCTTGTTGAAGTTCAAATCTTTAATATTGTACTGTTCATTGTTATTATTTATCTATCGCCATCTAAAACACATTTCTTTTAGATTTGATGATGAGAAGTACACGATCATCTCCAGATGTACTTGGATACTGTCTTGATCAGTTATCATTTATGGTATACCGGTGTGACACATTGGACCAACTATTTCTTCAATATCTAGTTGATAGAATGGAAGATAAATTTATGGCTAGTTACTTACCTGACAGTGACACTAGTATCCCATCGACCAGTAGAGGCAGCTCTCTAGAGATACGTATGAGCGATCAGTATGGCTTAGATAAAGATTCAGAAGAACCAATTGCATTAGGAATAGGGATCCTTGTTCTGAAGGTGAGTATTAAAGAAGAATACTTATCTTTTTATTTTATAAATACAGTTTCTTCAGAATTTTTTTAAAAATGTATCTTATTACTTATTTTGACAGGATGCTCGTAATTCTAAAGAGGGAAGTGCCAGAGAGATCCTTGATACTTATCCACTGTTAGTCTTAAATGCTCTTTTCCGCCTATTGAGAGTTTTGAAATTTCGAGTGGGGGATGAAAGTTTAGAGGGTATTGACGCTCTCCTTGGATGTGCTGTCAATATGCCCTCACATGAAACCATTGTTGATTTCAACACACTCGGTCCATCCCAGCAAGCAGATGTTGTTGATTGCCTGTTCTATTGTGTAAACTGGTTCCGTGAAATTGTAAATGCATTTTCCAACACCAATATTGATGCTTACTTGGAGAAAGTTATGATTCGACTGAGAAATTTGGTTTCTCTTCAGAGTACTTTGGCCAGATTACTTGCCAATACAATGAATTATGTTCCTCCACAGTGTATGTTCTATGACAAGGTCAAGAAAATTCAATTTAAAGTCCCTTCAGACAAGCCCAAGAAGAAAGGCAAGGGCAAAGCTAAGAAGCCTACCAAAAAGAAATTAAATGAGTCAGCAGCTATTGATGATACATCTCATATTAATGAAGAGTCAGATGAAGAAGAAAAGGACAAAGATGAAGATAGCCTTGGCCCTGTAGATATTTCTCTTTATCGTAATTTTTTGCGTGAGCTTGATTTAGATGTATTTGTTTTAATGAAGCAAGATTTAGTGATGACACCACAACCAGAGCGGGGAGCTGATAGCACTCCTGACTTAGGACCTGCAGAGTTACGTTTTTTATTGGAGGACTACGTAGCCAAACTGGAACATTCCTTTCCTGTTGGTGGGGTGAATCGCTTCACTCTCATGAAATCCACAGGGGATGTTATGGGAAACTTTGCTATATGGGACCTCTTACCTATGGAAGAAAAAGCTTCTAATGCTATTTCTTTGCTCCCTATTTTGTGTGAGAAAATGGAGCAAATAGGAGAAAGCTGTAGAAATCTGTTGGATGCCAATGATGGCATTTTAGATGGCCCTGGAATGTTTGTTGAAGGAACAGCAAATGTGAAAATTTGTTTTGCTCTTCTTTTGAGAGCCATGACTTCAACCTTTGCCTGGAATGGATTTAATCATTCCCAAAACCAAGAACTGTTGTCAAGTGAGTCTCTAATATTTTATACTTTAACAAGTTAACTGTTTATCTGTATTAAATCTCCTATCTTTTTTTTCAGATGGTTTGAAAGTCTTAGCAACTCGAATTGATTCATCAAAGAAGCGATCATCCATATTTGCATTAATAGGAGAGGCTTCCGATTATCTTAAACGTTTTCATGAATGGGTTCTTCATTTAGAAGCTGGTGTTCATCTTGTTAAGTTGCTTCAAATTTTAAGTTCATTGTGGGATTTAAATGTGTCAAAGAGTTCTGCTCGGCAGACCAGGGTTAATCCTACCAGAGAAATCTTGAGTTAGTACATATCTTCCTCAGGTCATTATTTTTTTACTTTATGATTGTAGCTTATTTTAATTTTATTTGGACTATTTTGTATTACAGAGGATGTCTGCAATGCTTTTCTCCGCCGTCCTTGGTCTTCTTTGGATGGGGCCACTGAAAAGGGTATGGCATACACTATGCATGTGGAAACTTTAGCACGCATCTATTTTGACTGTGCTGAAGATAAATTAGACCTGTTGCAAGAATTAGTCCCCAAACTGCACAATGAGTCTAAAAATCTAACCAGCAAGGAGTCATCTTTTGAAACTTTCCCATCAATCAGCAAGTATGCTTGTCTTAAAACGAAACACCGACATTATCTGATCTCATGGTAAAAACATCTTGTTGAAACATCACATTGTTTTCCTTACTTCTAGATATAACTTTTATGTCTTGTGTAGAGTTATATATTCAACTCTTGCTAAGGGTGTTCAATCTGAGACATTAAAACAAGATTCATCAGCAGAACAAATTAAAGCTTGGACAGTAGTATTTAAAGTTCTGGAGGGTATGGTAGAAATCACTCAAGACTTCACAGGAAGGCCCTATTTGGCTGCTATGTTAAAAGTAAGTGTGTTTAAATTTCTCAATTAATTGAAGTTAAATTTAAAGACATAGTACCTATAACTTGATTGTTTCAATTTCAGCATGGTCAGATTCTCCTCAAGCTCTTCTTGGATAAGGGTATGCCTATTTTAGATGGTTCCCTTCGCAATAACACAGAGGAAGTTATGGCAATCTTGCGCAGTTCTCAAATAGCAACAAGATTCATTAATAAAATCTGCCTTAGCTGCAAGGTAAATTATTTTGATTTCATCATTGTACTCCTATCTTTATCAAGAGAGGTTGATAAAACTGTTTATTTTCTTCTCTAGACTAGTCAAGATTCAGCATTAACTGCCCACGTTCCTAAAATTAGAGGAACAATGGAAACATTTTTGTACCGGGTTAAGGGTATGTTAGCACTGAACAACATTCAATCAGCTTGGCATATGGGCAACTTGAAGAATCGAGATGTTCACAATGTAGAGATTTGCACACAGGTACACATTGACTCAAAGTCTGGTGGCTTATAATCTTACTTTCGTTTTACTTACATCATCTTCATTTCTTTTTAGGAGAGTAATGAAGATGATGAAGTGCCAGAGGATGAAGAGGAGAAGGATGAAGATGTCACTGGTTTGGCTTCAGACAGTGATGAGGATGATGACCGAAGAGTCAAGGGCAGGAAAAAGAAACACCATCAAAAGAAGAAACGGTCCAGACGATCGGGTTCTGGCTCTGAAAATGAGGATGAAAGTGAAAACAGTGAAGATAATGATGATGGTGACGATGACGATGACGATGGAGATAACACGTCTATCAGCACTGCATATTAATGTTAGTGTGGTTTCCTTTCTTAATATTTTTATTGTTATGCTTTCATATAGTTTTTCTCATTTTGCTTATTCTCGCTCTAAAATGCTTATGATATTTGTTTTAACCGCTTTGTTTTAAAGTATACTTTTAAAACATACCTATGTGTCTAATTTAAACATTTCCCTCCTGGAACATGGTCAGGAGGAGCGTAGGATCGTGCCCCCTCCCTCCCCTCCCATCCCCCCCTTTCCGTCCTTGATTCCTTAGTCTCGCCAAGCTGACCTTAACTGAAATGTTAACAGCGCGGATGGGACCCGCCCGGCCGAGAGCCGCGCTGAGCCTCCCCTCGACTTGAGCCCCGACCTGACGACAACCCTCGCCACCCCGCCCCGCCCCGCCAGAGCGCTAAACCTTGTCAGGTAAGTCGCTTCCCGTCCCCCATCCCGCCGACTTTGCTCGCCTTCATCGGCATTAGCCCTCCAGCCGCCAGCCTGCCTCACCTCGGCCAGCGTAGTAAAGCTGGGCTGCGTCCTTGAAGGCCGACTGTGGCTGCCCGCCCGCGCCCGGCCCGGCTGCGGCCCTGGGGTAGCGGGGGCGCCTCGTGGTTAGGCAACCAGCGCGACGCCGGCGTAAGAAACTTGCCCACCCTGCCGGGGGCCGTGAAGGCCCTGCCGACCTTGGGGCGGCCTGGTCCGGCGCGCCCGCACGTCCCACCTGGACTTCTCCGGCGGGACGGAAGCTTAAGGGCGGATATTGGCGCACTCGATCCCCCGCGCTGGGCCGCGCTGGGCCGCGCTGGGCCGCCCTCTGGGTGCGAGGGTAGTGGGCGGAGGCCAGACCCGGGCGTGATGACAGCTACGCTTTTAGAGGGCGCTGCCAAATCTCCTAATCTGATTTACCAATACACGAGAGGGAGGGGGGGGGCGGGGGAGGAGGAGGAGGGTAGCGTGTCGCCGCCGCACCACTTCCGTCCCACGGGCAGGCTTGCCAGATGTGGCGATCTGTCGCCAAAGTGGCGATCTGACGTCGGATTTGGCGACGAGAATTTCCCGAGTGGCGACGGGCGACGGAGGTGGCGATCTGGGTTCCTGAGTGGCGCTGAGAGTGGCGATTTGACCTGCCGAGTGGCGATCTGGCGCCCGGCCGCCTACCTGCTTTGGGGTTCGGGTTTTTTCGGGCCGCTTGGGGCCTTGCGGGCGGCACTGGGACGTGCGCCTGTGCGCCGAGGCGGGATTATCCCTGTTTTGTGTACATGCAGGCCTGGCACTTGCAGCAAGTGTTTAGGGGGAGGGGGGGGGGGGGTCGACCGACAATACTACTGTAGAGCCGGTGGTTGCGCGGCGAGGAGGGAAGGGCTTGAGCGGGGGGACGCGGGACGCCGCGCGCTGCCTCTGCTGTCCGGCTGAGAGGTGGTTTGGAGAGGGAACGACGGCGATGGCGGGGAAGAGGGGCCCACTTGCGAACTGGCTCCAGTCCACCCCCAAAAAACCGGTAAGGCTGAAGCCATGAGACTGGCATAGCCCGCTGTCGGCTCACAGTGCTCTAATACCGTTTTCTCGAGCCACGTAGGCTGTGCGCAAGTCTCCCGAGCCTGCTGCCCCGCTGCCACCCCCATTATCGTCATCGTTTCCTGCTCGCCCACCCCTTGGCCGCGGCGGTGGTGGTGGCGCCGGCGGAGGCGTCGGCCGCGGTAGAGGTCGCGGCCGCCTGAGCCTTGGGGAAACGTCCGCCCCC